CAAGGACATGTGCTCACTGCCTGGACTGGTTTTGTACATTTTATCTTTGTATTTATTTCCTTGTGTGAAAATTGGCCTTTTGAACAATAGGATACCATGTGTAGCACATGGTGAGATCTGAAAGCCTTCATTTTAAAAACAATTACATCCTAAATGCATCTGTCAAGCGAGTGGAAAACCTCTATATCAAGTAGGGCTGACAAAACAGATGAAAATGTAATTGTTTCTGGTTTAGTCTCCTATTTTCTTCATGAGGTTAAAGCCTTTCCTAATGGTACTTGGGGTGGTTCCCTACATCCCACTGACTTGCTCCAATGGACTGAATAAATCATTTTATCTTTGTGCACAGATAATGGCAGTTTTTACCTTCACTGTGTGTCAAGAGGCCAATGTGCTCAGTGTATGTCAAGTATGAGAAGTTGTTTATTATAGTCATCGTAGGCAAAATGCCAGAAACTGCTAATTGGACAAAACGCAGAAACACAGAGTGTCACCAGAGACTCCACATCTTTTAGCTGTGCTGTCCTGCACAAATCTAAGGACTAAGTTCTGCAAACATTGACATTGCAACTGACAAATGGGGCTGTGAAACCATTCATTCCTCATGCACCTGGGCCAGTCTTCAATGCAATGTTTTTAGTTTTTAGTATTAAATGTTGATATCATTTCAGTAGGGGAAGATGAGAGTAATGGAGCAGGTTCCTTCCTCAGTGTTATCCAGGCACAGACTTTTTATTTTTTCATGTACTTCTGAGCATTGTCATAAATTGTCTGTCTGCAGAAGTTGAAAATTCTTCTTGAGACTGGATCTGAGTAAGTATTACTGCTGTTCTGCAGGAGTGTGGGCACTGACCTCGCTGAAATGAAGTTACTTGCTCAGAGTCACATGAGAAAACAGAATTAATTTCTTTAATTTCAAGTCATATTTTGACTCCCACACTTCCTCTCTCCTTAACGTTATTATTACTACTAAGTACGTATTCTGGTATAGTGTGAGGCATGGTTAGGTCATAGTTGCTGGCTGTGTGCACAACCTATCATGTAAAGTCGTTTCCACTGAGAAAAATAAACATTGAAATAATTGGGGGGAAAAAACAGGATAAAATGAGCCCCAAAAGGCAGTCAGCTGGCAAAAATGGGCTTTGACTCTTCATCTGTGAGAGGATCAAAACTAGTCTGATCTATAAAACCCTCAAGCAATAAACAAGCAATGAAAAAGCAGCTAAACAAGTGAGAAATGTCATGGCTGTTTGTTGGCAGGCGTGTTATCCACAGAGAACCATCACAGCCCAGCCCTCCTGTGTGACTCAGAGCAAAGGCTGTCTGCAGCCGGTGGGACTGGCTCCCTCTGCTCAATCAGTGGCTTCCTGAACAATGAGGGGAAAAAATAATGAGAACTATGATGAATAATATCCTTATAAAAATATGAATTTAATTGCTCTAATTGCTTGAACAATGAATTGTCAAGTGCTTAGTACAGACTGTAATGCAGGAGAACTGGAGAAGTCAATAAATTAACAGGTAAATAGTTCCCCTTTGCTTGCATCTTCACATCCCACACTGGGAACTTCAGATCCTGTTTCCAGACCAGAATAGGAGCAGGAGCTCCTCATACGATTATGTCATTTATGTGACTTGCTACATCAGGACAGTAATGGTGGGAGAAAGTGTAATGGAGTTTACATGACTCCCCTGTGCAGTTCTAAATCTCTTAGACCAAGCTGCTCATGTGTCCAACCTGTAACAGAGTAATAGCTGATAAAATCAGAGGAACCACTGATATTTGTGGACTGGTGTTATTGGCTTAATCCCCTAAAAGCAAAAGGGAGCGTTTTCTACAACCCAGCACTGGAAAGTACTTTGTCTTGCAAATATGCCTCAGTTTCTCCTAAGGATCCTAATCCCAGAAGCAAAGCTACCATCTGCCTTCCCGAGACCCACCAGCCAATACTGCTGCAGCGATGGACACAGCTCCTCTGGGCAGGACTGAATCCACAGGTCATGTCACAGAGGAAGCTAATAGGTAAAAATAGGTGTCTAGATAATAAGGCATTGCATCTCATTACCAGTTCCCTGAGAAAGCCAACATCCCTCTATCATTCCTCTCAAAAGGATGCTTTCTTATAATTACATATCACTTTATTAGGCAGCTGAAGCAAAGAGCACGTTTGATGCTAATGAAGTGCTGCTGTGGTTGAGTCTGTCACTATTTTTGGAGCCACACATCTCCAGCACTTTTGATTGGGTGAGGGAGGCTTTGGATGTCTCCAGCTTCTGCTGTGGGGGCTGCACAGGGAAAAGCAATGACTCAGCGAGCCAGGACTGCAGAGCTGGTTACATGCTCAGAATGAGAAACGCCGCGGGACAGCGAGAACACGCACAAAAGCTCTTTATGTGGTGGAAGTATTTTTCAGGTAGTGGACAGCATCATCTAGATCAAACAATCCTTCTGAATATTCGCTTTGTGTCGGTTATCTGTCCGGTCCTTGTTTTTCCACTTTTCCACCCATTACCTCAGAGCATTTCAGAAAAAAGCCAAGATTTCACAGAACTCCAGGAAAATATTCCCGAGGTTAGGAGTGAGACACGTCACAGCTGTCCACCAGCACCAATCCTGACGCAGACAAGGGCTTTGCCAGCTCCATTTTCTGCAGCAGAGCTGAGGAGCTGCTCAGCATCACAAAGGCATCATTTGGTGTTAAAATCTGACTTATCAGCCAGTGCCCCTGGGAACAGGCCTGCTCCCACCCCACTTTGTGCCAACACCAGCATTCAGCTGGTCCCACAGTGACTCAGTTCAGGATCTAAACAAAAATACTAATTCCTCCCTCTCTCCCCACCTCACAGGGTTGTTACTGGTCACCACTAGTCAGCCAAGGACAGGACTGGGGCAAGGGAGGCACCGGTGGCACCGGCAGCACCTGGGACCGTTTCTGCACATCAGGACCTGTTAGGACAACTAAATTACATTACCACATCACTTCCTGACAGCACACTGGCAGCCAGAGCCTCCCCTTCTGTAAACAAGGTTAGTGGTTCCAAGTATCATTTCGTGTCTTCTGATACACAAATGAGGAATGTATCAGAGTAATCAATAATTATAGAAAATACGATTGTATCCAAATGCCTCCTTACTCTGAGAATGCCCCACAGGGCTGTATTGTTACTACCTCTCTTCCTGGAGAGGAAGCGATGACTGAAGCATTAGCACCTCTTACCTGTTCTCTTAGACTGCAACTGTGTGACCACATCTTGGTTTGCTACAAACTACTTTAATCAAGCCTTTTACTTACTGGTTTGGGACTTTTCTTGTGTAAGTGTTTCCATATACAACTTTTACTAGGAGTGAGCTTTCTAAGCATATTAGGTTAAGATCTTTCTTTGGTAGTACCACTAAACGTATCTCGGTCCTGGCAGCGAGATGTACGCAACGCTTATGTATCTTCTTAGAGCTGATTTATGTAAACAGGCCAGTCCCACCACTGCAGTAAAAGCTCATGTCAACTAAAGAAACCTCTGACTATACCATTATCCATATAAAACACAAGATGTACCTCATCACAGTCATAGTTCCAGTGACAGGGGAGAACAAAGAGCACCCTTCTGGAGCAGATACATCCCAGAGAGCCACACATGTGCACCCAGCCCACAGGCCAGGAGCACTGCACCCGGCAGAGCTTGCTCCCTGGCT